CTTTCTTGTTATCCCACACTAGTTAAAGCGGTGATGATGTAAGCTCCTTAATATAAAGGCCCCGAAAGTGTAGGCATTTCTACTGAAGATTTATAAGGGATGCGGATTTAACACCTGGATGGAGATGTGAACCTGAGGAGGTGTACCATGACGAGGCGCAAGTGTGTGTGCGTCGAAATTTGATGGTCGCTCTTTGATATTCAGAGCGAGGTGTTTTGCTACTTGGAGGTATCAAAGGATAATAGGGACGTTAGGAACCTCTGGTTCTCACATGACAACAACATTAAGTATTCCTGTGTTGAATTTGACCCTCCGTGGACTAGGGGATGTTTGGTAAGACTGGCGCTAGAAGCATTTTCTCTTCACCTTTTTTTTCACTATCTTAAACACACACACACAGTCTGCCAAACTCCTGGGTGTAACTCTAGACCACAAATTGGACTGGAAGGCCCATGTAAACAACACTATCAAGGCAGCCTCGTACCAACTCTACATGCTACGACGACTCAGGTCACTAGGGGCACCCACGCCAGAGCTGAGGACTATCTACAACGCATTTATTCTCCCTAAATTAACGTATGCGTCACCAGCCTGGTCGTCTTCTCTCAACTCTACCCAACAACGTCAACTAGAGAAGGTACAGAAGAGGGCCTGCAGAATCATGCTCGGCGCAGCTAAAACAACGTTCTCTCCACCCTGGAAATGCCATCCCTCGGTGACCTCCACCACCACCAAGCACTAGCAGGGTTTGGCAGTGGACTACTGCACCATCCTCGTCATCGCCACCTTCTGCCACCGGCAGTCACCCGCCCACCTCGTGCAGTGCGCCACTACAACAAAATTCAGCCCATAAGAGCACGCACTGATAGATATAAGAATAGCACCATCCCATCTATTGTTAAAATAATAAACAGCTCCTGATTTATGTACTGTACAGCCCTGTAAATGTATTGAACGTATATTATTATGTCTAAATCACATGTAAGTTTGTATATTTTCAGACTGATTATTATTATTACACACACACACACACACACACACACACACACTCTCTCTCTCTCTCTCTCGAATAAACCATTGTAGTTGAACAGTAACAAACATTACTAGATGAATGAATAAATAGCCAAGTTGAGTACCTTGATTATCGTTTGCCTATGCATCACAACACGCCTCTTAATTCTAATACCCTGCTATAGGCTGTGGGGTGGCGGCGGCCGGCTGAGTGAATGCAGTGCTCGACCCCCCCCCCCTCCCGTTCAAAATTACACTGGTTCGCATCCTAGAAAAAAACTTATTCCATCCAGCTGTGAATGAGTGTATAACTTATTGTGATTTAACTATTATAACGGGATAGAAAGTAGTAAAGATGACATAGTAAATTACTCTTATTTGACATTAACTTTTAATATTATAGTAATAGTAGTAAATGCAGATACGAATTTACATCTAGCATTATAAAAAAAAGAATATATATATATATATATATCTTGATATATATATGCAAGTAAATCACTGTAGGTGCGCGTGATCTAGGTATATGCTGACAACCACCAGGAAAGAAGAAAGCACGAAGTTCCCAAGCGCTTTCGTGTAATTCACATCTTCAGGGGTGAGTACAGACTAAAGAGAAATATAAACCAAGGTGTATATGTACAGAGGAGGGTGAGACCAGGTCCACAATGGTCAGGTATTAGGTAATGACCCTACTAATCTTTAAATAGCACACAACGGTTGGTGGTCAGGTCAGAGGATAAGGTGACCCAACCTTCTCACCTGGTTACAAATCTTCTTAATTACAAAATTGTCCAGTTTGTACACGAAAGCGCTTGGGAACTTCGTGTTTTCTTCTTTCCTTGTGGTTATCTGCATATATACATATATATATAACAAGAATGGCGAGTCAGGTTATAAAATTTAGTCACTCACAATTTTTGCCTCTTATTAAATTACGAATGATTTATCCAATATTAGCATTATATTATTGGACGTATTCAGATCATTAATTAAGCACATGTGGTTATAAACGCTACCTGGAGTTATGTTTGGGGTACTGCATTGTGGTTTGATTAATTATTTACTGCGTATCGCTTAGTTTAATATCTCATTGCAGCATTACGGTGGTTTAATCTCAGGTGAAATAGGTTCGGGGGGGGGGGGGATAATCTTTAAGTGACCCAGACTTAGCATCACCATCCTCATCTACCAATACTGTATAGGCAAGTGAGTGTATGGGGCGGCTCTTATACACAGTTACCAAGGCTTGTATTAATCCAACACAGCCACGTATCAATACCAGTTACAACACCCTTAGTCCAGTCCATGACACGTCACCAGTGCACCATCAGTACACACCCACCAGTACATGATCACCAGTACAAAGCATAAAACTACCACAGCCCGTTGTTACACTGAACACCGAGGAAATTGAAACTGGAATATTGCTCTGTGACATTCTAGTTTTTACGTGTCTCTAGCAACCCGCTGTTGAGTTGAGAGGAGAAAAAATAGTGTATAATTTATTGAGTCGACACCTACAGTTATGCATATCTTCCTAGTGTATGTTGCCCTGTAGTTAATTAGTGAAGAAATAAGGTAGTGTAGGATTTTAATCACGGATGGCTAGAACTACCTAACCTAACTCCCACCCCCCTCCCCTCCACACACACTTTCCTACCCTGATAAAACTTGTGATGGGTTTACTGCCTGTCAATACTGATAGATCATTGTCGACATTTATTTATATCAGATGTTTCAAGACTCGCTATTACACTTAAATCTGCTGAGACCTTTACTCTCTCTCTCTCTCTCTCTCTCTCGCTGTTTTCCGGGTGGGTATGAGGCTTTGCTTCTTCAGTCTATCTACGTACTGTATTTTGCTTATTTATCTGTACGGTCTATATATGCTGAACTGTATACTTGTATTGTCTCTCTCTCTCTCTCTTTATAGATGCTGAATCAGGGAAACTTGCATAACAGTTTTAGTTAATAAACATCTATCTAAATACATTTATCTATATTTATCTCAACCCAGGAAATTGTTTTCGTGCAGGGTTCTCTCTCTCCTCCCCAGTGAGTATATACCCATTTTAGGTGTTGGTCCTGGATCCACTTCCTTGGTGTTTGTGTTGCGATAAGCTGAGGTCCTCACACTGATGACCAGGAAGACCCGCTCCTCTCCGTTGTCTCACCTACACGTGTGGGTTTTTGTTTAACCCAGAGTGAAATGTTGCGAGATGATTGTGTTGGTGACGAGAATGACTACATGATTCCACTGACATTAAGCAAGATGGTAACAGTTACGGAAGAGTAGAGAGCGGTTTAACCTTGGTAGCGGGCAGGATAGTGGGAACCCGAAGAGGGGAAAAACTATCGTGACCCTCACCAGCAGTAGTAGCGCCGCCAACACCGCCGCTGCTGCGACCTTCGTCCACTTTCACCCTTGTTCGTCGGGCTGTAGAGCTGCCTGCACTCCTACCAATATATTCACTCAGTGCTGGGGATGATGGGGGGAGGGGCCAGGAACAGATCTTGCGCATGCGTGTTGAACGTGTTAGTTTTATGGTTCTGACAATACTCTATAATTATGAATATTAGTTTTAACATTAATATTAACATAATTAGTTGGCAATTATTTGTAAAATTATGATGGGTTAGTTCTATTATGCTTCTCATATTCCTCAAGTCCCATCATTGCCTTTAGCTCGTTATATCCAGCTCTATATTTCTTCTATTACGGTAGTTTTTAACACGTGTTTGATATCATTCGGAAATTAAATAAGATAGAATGTTTAGCAATAACTACTCTCTTCAGACCTCACCCACCATGTCGACATACAATAGCGCGTGGTTCGTTCCTCATCAGAAAAATTGCGTGATTAAACTGATTGTTATCCAAATATGGCAGAATTATCTTCCCGGTGCACCTGCAGTTTCCCGAGTGGAAAGTCTTGTTTACGTTTGTATGGATAACTTTCTTCCTGACAAGGGATTTGGCGAAAATGTTCTTGATATTAATTACAACAAACCCAGCGTTTTAAATTATTAAATGCTTTGTATCAACACCCCCCTCCCCTGCCGTACAATTTTAGTGCAGGGGCAGAGAAGAACACGAAGCTAAATGTGCTGTTCACTTATTGTTGCTACATAAGTGACAATAACTGAACTACATCCTGACGAATTCGTTCATAATCCCTCAAATATACATTCATTCGCCAGTTACTGCTCACAAACAAAACTACAGATTTTCAGAATGAATCTTAGAGTTCTTAAAAAGGTATCTGACGGCAAGTTAAGTGTCTCTCTCTCTCTCTACTCGGGAAAGATGGGTTAGGAATACTTGACTTGGCCCTCAGAAAATACGACTATCCACACCAAACACACGGTGCCTAATTGTAAACCCCTCAGTTGTTTAGTCATCAATCAAATGTTTAGATTAGCCATAATGTGATAATGGTAACACAGAAGGTGAAATGCGACACACACAGTTGAAGTTACGGCCTCATCTCCTCAGCTTTGTTTGTAGTGTTGTTGATGTTCTGGATGCAAGGATCCCCAGGGGCATTTCAGTTACACCGCTTTGTAATTATGTCCATTTCACATTCTTCATTTTACAGTCATAGGATAAAATGATACACGGGGTGGGGGTGATGTGGGTGACTTTCCAGTACCACCGGAGCCTGAGAGACGGCTGACGAGGTCATAACAGGGGTGCGCGGCCACTGGAAGGACGATGTTTGCATAGTTACACATAACGCATCCGTATATTAATGATAATTTGACTACCATACCCAGACGGCCCTTAAATACGTGGCTGATTTATAGAGGAGGAATTAATTATATCATCTTACGTATTGCTTCACAAAGCTATCGAAGAGAAAGAAAAAATGGACGACATTAAATGCGAGTTGGCACCAAGCGGCTAGTATCGGGAGGAGCTGGTTTCATCGGTGGGCGGAGCTTCGCAACTGACCTAACGCCGCCTCCCTTTATATTTTGATGAGCTCGACCCAAAGCTTTAGTGTGTTTACGGCTAAGTTAGAGGACGGAGAGGAGCCTGTGGGAACTTGTGTTTTGGCAGTTAGTACAGTACCAGCAGACGACGCAGAAGAGGAGCGCCCAGTTACTTTGTACCAACAGTAGCAGTCGCATCACTCTTTTACAACTAAGTGCCCAGCTACCTGCATCATGGATCTTGGTGGTACAGAGAGGGAAAAAGACAATAACAATGATTTTGACAATGAAAAGACCGCCACACGTCCAGACTTTCCGCTGGGTAATTCTCTCTTTTTGTATCTAAGTGGATTTGAGTGTTAATCCCCTGTATTAGTTTGTGTCGAAAGACTTTTTGTTTTTCTCTACTGGAAACGTTGAAAAAGTTCGTGGCTGGCCATTGGGGGTAATGCTGAAGTTGTGTTACATTGCAGCTGGATGATAGAAAACTACAACTTGTGGAAATACTTTGTCCTGCTGAGAAGTCGAGGATTATTTATGTTGCCTGAAAGTGTTGGACGAAGATCTGTGTTGATTCTCGTCGCTCTTCGTGGTGTGGATTCTATTAACACGGCGATTCTCCAACCGTCTTCGAAGATGTTGGCCATTGGATTAGATACTAAATCATAGAAGAAAATTCTTATCGTAACGTTACGAAAACATTTTTGGGGCGAATCTATAGTAGTGAGATGGTTATTTATCTGGCCGAGTAGAAAAGCTAATCTTAGGCAGCGTGTACATGTGGGGCTGCGTGAGGAGTAGATGTAACATGTGCTGTAAAGGTCAAGTGAGCATGTTGTGTTGAAGTCACATCACAGTCTTCAGATCAGGTGTGTGTAGCGAATATAGATGAGGAGTGCATTTAGTATTGAAGGAGAGTGTGGGCACGTTAAGTAAAAGATGGTTAGGTTAGGTGTGTAGTATGAAGAGACTAAGGTTGGTTGAATACCCTTAGTGAAGGCATAAGGCATCGGCAGTTGGAGATACACTAAAAAACCAGCTGGTGACTAACAAGGCATCACCAGCTGGAAGACTATGAGCCATCACACCCGCACTATCTGTTTACATCTCAGGAGACCACATGAAGTTATTTCCCTAGATTACACTTCGCACTTAAAGTTGAAAGTAATATTGGTAGAAGTAGTATATCAAGTGAGTTTGGCTAAGCTTTTAGTAGTATATAAAGTGAGTTTGGGTAAGCTTTAAGTAGTATTTCGAGTGGGTGTAGCAGCTTGTTGGTAGTATTTCGAGTGGGTGTAGCAGCTTGGCCGTAGTATTTCGAGTGGGTGTAGCAGCTTGTCAATAGTATTTTGAGTGGGTGTGGCAGCTTGTTAGTAGTAGTAGTGGGTGTTACTGAACTGAGTCCTTCAAGGCCTCCCGAGTTTCCAAGGCGGCACATACCCAAGAGGCTTCCGGGACGACGCTTAACAACTTCATTGTTTTTTAAACGTCATAAAGTTTATTCACTCCTGATACAGACGTCCAATAGCAGAAAAAATATTATTAATGCCTCCCCCTACCCTTCTCGTATCATATAGATGAAATTAGGATTATTTCTATAAACGTTTGAGATCGATGCCAAAAGTGATTTCGAAATTTTGTTTCGTGTGTTGACCACAATCTTACCATCGCGGGGCGGTCTCGTCCCCAACACTACCGAGCACTTGATCATTCTGAAAATTCTAGGCCCGGGTTTTGACCGCCAATATGCTGGATTAGTTTACATTTAAATGGATTAGTTTGCGTTTAGATGGGTTAGTAACCATGACCAACTGTTTTTAACCTAGTCTCTGCGTCCATAAAACGTATTTACAATTAATGATCAGAGAAGGTTGGTGCAAGCCTTGAGCTACTCATGGTAATATCTACACCTGTCTAGCCCAAAATGGGTGTGCAAACCAAGGATTTAATTGATCATTTCAATAATACCTGTATACAGTATTATGTGACTTGATAATTTTAATTCGCGTCGTAAATCGAATTACACATGGGGCTGGTCCTGGAGTGGTGAGACACCACCTCTCTGATAATTAAAACGGGAGTCGGTAGTTTCATAAGCCATTTAATTCTTTACAGCAACTCATCCCCTGATGTTAAATAGTGTATGACTTTCATAACGTAGTTATTTATATTGCTGTTGCTCTTGGACGAGGTCTTATATTTCATCCATGTTACTTTAAATCAAATATAAGTTATAATACTGAGAAGTTACGGCAACCTCGCTTCAACTCTTGTGATATTCCTATACAGCAACTCATTTCTTATATAATATATATATATATATATATATATATATATATATATATATATATATATATATATATATATATATATATATATATATATATATATATATATATATATATATATATATATATATATATATATTGCAACGACTACTGCTTGCGATACTACCTTCATTTTTATTACAATTTATTATAGTACAGTATTATCTTAAAGCATACCATATATTACTGTGTTTTAGATGCTAGAGATGGTAAACTGCACGAAATAAATACTGACCGCCTCAACAGATTAATACAGATTACAGATTGCCCCGGAGGGGGCTAGTTTATTGGGCACCCTTGACATCATAGATATATTTGGTTAACTAGTCGCCGTCAGGTGGGTGGGGAAGATGATGGCAGTGATAGAAGTAGGTTGAATGAGCGAATTGTTCTGGAATGTACTGCGAGTTTCTTATAGATACTACTTGCGGGAAATAAAAACACCTTATATCTGTGGCTTTATTTAAAATGCAAGGTTCATGTGAAACAAACATAAAACTGTGTTAACTTACAGTAGTGTCCAAGTGATTCTGTGATACAGCAATATAAACTTGCTATAATTTGTGTAACATTGCAGTTAATAGTGAGGAAAATAAGGTCTCTTTTTTTGGGGGGGGGGCACTATTTCAAAATAAACTTATATTGACTACTAAATATTTGTTAAAAAAATGGTTCACTGATGCAATCAAAATTTAATATATGATTCAAATGAACCGGATCGCACCGGCCTCAGCACATCCCTGGATATAACCCCTTCTTGTGAATAGTGAAAGTTCGATTCTTTTCAGAGAGCAAGTGGAAAAACTATCAGAGTTGAGAGAGAGAGAGAGAGAGAGAGAGAGAGAGAGAGAGAGAGAGAGAGTTGCTCAAGTGATAAGCTGTGTACAGTATATAGCTACTTTCATCGTGTTCTGTTGATCCCTCACCCTTACCACCCTCTACCCCCTCTCCAGAAAAATTCCCAAGCTCTACAATCTGCAACATCCGCATCTTCTTGGTGCCGATGTTATACTCAAAACATGTCAAAACAACCTGCCTGTTCTCCGTAACCGTTGGCTGAATACAGGATCACCCTGACCGACCTCCTACAGGAAGTGCGGGGCCGTACCCCTCACCCCTGCATAGTTTTGAAGGTCCTCAACCATTGCCACAAGTACCAACCCATCTTGAGTTTTCTTTCCCGTGGGCGATATTTTCCCCCCATTTTTACTGCCGCTTCAGTACCACGGGCGGTTACGGCGCCACCGTTGTCGTATACTGTAGCTAACTACAGTAGATGGAAGGTACTCTAGTTCTTCTCAGACGAAGAGTTTACTTGTAATATAATACCAAACTACCTCTTTTTCTTTGGGAAAAATAATCGGAGAAGATGAGGAATTATTGGCATCTGAAGTAGTTGTAAATAAGAATCGGTATCGAAGGGTTTTTTAATGAGGGGGAAAGAAGAGTTCAACAACTTTTAAAAAAAAGGTTCTTGAAAGCGTAATATGAACAAATATCCCACTGCTTAAATTCTCGTAAACTTTCGACATCCAACACAAATATAAATGCACGATAGTAATCGAACATGTTAAAATAATTTGAAAATAACGAATTCTGTTGCTGAGGCACTTTTAAGAACAGTGCGAGGAATTTAGATTTTACTCACGTATTCATCATCGGGGCCCCGGTGTACAGTATATGGTAATATGCCCCCACGCATGTTGACCTTAAACTCATAGACTCGCATGGTGGTACACTTTGAACTTACATGACAGTATTTCACCTTTTATTTGTCTCTAATTATGCTGTACCAGATTGCAGTCCATTGGCATCTGCAATTATTATTATTATTATTATTATTATTATTGACATTAACGTGTGTTCTGAAGAACTTCGACGTTGCAACCCCTTGTTGTCATGAGAATTCTTTCATCATATAAGTCCAATCATGTTACTTTCTGCTGATGGCAACCCCATGCCTTTAAGTACGGTACCTGGAGACACCTAATCAGGAATTTGTAGTCCCATTTTCATTAATTAACTATCTTAAATATGGATATTTCTAGAGAAAGGATACTTGTTAAAATGTAATTCTAACTCGACTGCATCCCTTATTTTTTCGTCTTATGTTTTATCAGTTTTTAAATAATTGTAGTTTTTCCGATATAATGTAAGAATTTTACGGATGAATACTTTCGACTTAGAGTGATATGTCTGTGTGTTCTATTACAGGCGCGGTACTGCTGGACCTGGAGGAACGCGACCTACCCAGCATCGCTTCCCGGGTGGTGGACAAAATGATCGCATGCGACCAGATTCCATCAGACCAGCGTGAAGCAGTTATCCGCGTTCTCCTTCTTAGGCACAAACACATCCGAGAGAATCAGTCCTCTTTCCGGCTCCCCTCCTTGGGATCAAAGAGCGCTCTAGTCAGGTAAGTTTCACCCTCACTGCAGCAACACACCGGCTGAAATAGAATAGTAATACTGTACTGATACAGAGGAGGAACCATTTGAATAGGGTTTTTTTATTGTTAACTTAACATTTGAAGATTTACAAATGCTAGAAAGATGACGCTTGCTTTCCTTTGTGATCCCATTCAGTTCCGAGGAAAAATTGCAGCCATCATCAACAAGTGTGAGTTTGGACGGCAGCGGAATACGGGCGTCCGTGCGTAAGGCAGGACTCTCCAACCTTTTCCACGTGAATACCTTCTCCAGCTTCCTCCGCAGCAACTCCACTGATGACCCAAACAACGTTGTCTCTAATGGCGGCATCTCCAAGGACCCCAACCCTGAGACTAGGAGAAGCTTCAGTCACGACGACTCGTACACTCAGGTAAGTTTACTGACTATTGACACCATCTTTAGCGTCATAAACAGCTACCTTGGTGGAGGGTGAATCCTCAGCTGACATTATAGTGGGAACTTGGAGGTGGAGGTTACTTTACACAGTAGTGGGTGAAGGTTAAGGTTACTTTACACAAAATATTAAGTAGGAGTGGCTTGAATCAGCCCTAATACATCTTTGTATTTCAAATAGGAAATACCTTTTACTCTCAAGAGAAACTTAATTTAATATCGAAGATACCGAGAGCCCATACCAATACGAGAAACTGAAGTTCTTATTCAGTTACAGAACTGCGCACAATATACGAAGACAGTACCTTCGCCAGCCCTTGAAAATATTGGTTCTCTTAAGAAAAAAAAATTTCTGTGGAATATTTCAGGAATTAAAAAAGTAAGATGAAAAATTAAACATTCTTCTGGGGCCTCGGTCTCCGGCAGAGCACAAATTGAAGACGACGTATGTGAACTCTACAGTCACCTCTAGTGTGGTACTTCATTGTAGCTGTGATGGATGTCGATTTTTTGGTTATGGTGAAATATTTTTAATTTTAAAGACTTTGGTGAAAGATTTTGAAGTAAGCCGAGAAGACCAGATATGTTTAATGGGAGTGTCGGCCAAGGACAGTATGTTAATGGCATGGCTAGCAGTATGTTGTAACTGATCACCATTGGTGTAAGAGACCACCACCCAATGTCTTCCGTCGTCATCGTCCACTACACACCTTCACATTTGCGTTTACAGTTGTGTCCTTGACGGCTGGCCCGGCCGACACCAACCTACTGTATATACACCACCCAAAACAAACCTGAACGTCGCTGGTGACCGCTCATGAACGTTCCTGTCCTGTAGTTTTATCACCTTATCCTTGATATAATTTTTTATAGACAACGGCCTAATTAATGTCGCATAACTGGAACCCACTTTTTTTAGGCTTATTACCTTTGGTAAAATCCCCGAAGTGAATAATACAGGTGGGAGTGGTCAACCTTGTGACGGTGCGGGTAACATGGCATTGATATACAACCTGCAATACTTAAATCCTTCAACCCACATCTCCCACAAGGCTCACATTGCTACGTCAGTTAAAAAATTAACAATCTAACTTGCTGATTATATATATATATATATATATATATATATATTTTTTTTTTTTTTTGAGAGACCTGCTGAGGACGGGAGTTCCCCGTAAGGCGGTGACCGTTTAGGAATGCCGCCATCTATAAGCCCTTGGCTGGCATGGCCGTGATCCCCGCCACGCCTACTTAGGCTTTACCTGTTGAAAAGCTTGAATGAGGTTGCAGCATTACTTCCCACAGAGCGCCTCTGTGCCGCCCGTTGCGCATTGCTAACATCGACCTTTTGAGTAAATATTATACACGCAAACATAATTACCGTAAACTCTCAAGGCATACAGAACAGTGCGTGAATCTACGTTATTCAAACCCAAATTTAGGACGACAGTAGCAAAGTGTATGCAGACCCATATTCTAGTTTTCTATAGTAATTTATGAGACGGTTGGTAGATAGCTATTATCTTATTCCCCCCAGAATATAGCAAATAACTTGTACGGTATTCGTAGGGCGGAATTCGTTCCAAAAAGTTTTTTTTAATTGAGGGGAAGGAGGGGAGTAAAGATTGGTAGTAGCCGATTATACAGTGTACTTTCCCTAAGTCCAACTCAGAGTAGTCATGTAGCACCCTGGGTTTATATATATATATATATATATATTTTCAGTCACTTAACACAATACAGTATATCCAAGTTATCTACATTTTACTGTATGCTTATGGAAGAAGGTTGCTATTCATATGCAACAAATATATGTATACTGTATAAGCACAACTATTCGAGAAATTATAAAACAGTAGAGATGAATAACCCCCAAAAAATATGTTTTTCACAGAACTATCTCGATTCACAGAACCTAATTCCAGACCAAACAGAAGAGCATCACATCTTGGTATGTTAACACTGGTACTTTGTAGTTTACCAGAATATGCTTCGTTGATGCAAGGCAATACCTACTGAATGAATTTACCATATGCCATTGCTAACATTTTGTTTCTAGGCTTGCACTGATTTTAGTTTACTTGTAAAATATTTTTTAAAAATCCAGTTTACACTTTTGGAAATTAAATTGCACAATGCGATTGAATGCTCCACTCTTTGTTTGAGTCAGCTGAGCTACTTAAACGTCTACAGGAACCTGCATGACCTCATGGTAGTGTACTGCAAGGTAGGTAGATAACAGGTAGCCTCACGCAGGCCCATAGTAATTCACTAATTGGCAACTCTACTCTTGAGATCACTAAGCCACGCCCCATATGCCACTTCATGCGTTTGTAATATTGTGGTATTATTATCCGTATAGATCCTTTCTCTAATCAAGATATACTAGCATAAAATGTTGTTAATCAGATATATATTTAATAATATGTAATATACAGTGTATATTGCCATGTAAATTATACAATAAGAAAATGTTTGACGAAATTTACAATAAAATGGGAACTCTGGTTGAATTGTAAAATATTCAATACCTTTCCTCCCATTTTAAATATCCCGCTTCTACTGTTTGATGTAACTCAGTGGGCAGAGCTTAATAAGTGATGTCATCGCTAGCCAATCAGCGACGTTGGGTGAAATTCAGCGGTCGAAAGTAAGATATTTATATTTATTTTATATATTTAATCAGTGGCTCCAATTAAAATAAAACAAAAAACCTCCTTTCCAAAATTTATTGTACAACTTTTAATACCATCATAAGCCTTCAAAAATACATAAATAAAAATTCCATTTTTATTTTCATTCTCGTAGATTCTATGGGAGTGAGGCTACCTGTTATCTACCTACCTTGAGTGTACTGTGTATGGAGGCTCATGAACATGTTGCTTCTACTGTCTGTGTTTCCTGCTTAAGAACTTTATTATCTTCCATATTATTTTTGGCATGCTGTAATATTTTACATGTGTATTTGTTAGTATTTTATCAGATGTTATTCTTAGGCCTGAAGCACCCCAAATCTCACAAATCTTATCTACATTTAGTAAACTGCTTCTAATGCATCAGAGGGATAAAATCTAATGGAAGCAGTTCAGCAAAGTTAATTTGTCTTAAATGTGGTGTGTGGCAACCATTTCTCAAAATTCATTACACTATTGTCTTGGATTACAACAGTACAGGATATATGCATATCTTTTAGTGGTAGTACATTGCTGGTATCTGTTTTTTACTCGGTAAAACAGGTAAGTGGAGGCTGTTTATATCATAAGTGCCTCACCTTCAATGGAAGATGTGAGATCTGGTGCGTCTAGGCTCTAAGGCATAAGTGCTTTCCTAGCTTTTTGTTAACATTAAAATTATACTGTACATGATATTAAACTACAAAATTAATGCCTCTATACTAAATACTTAATCCACATCAATATAAAGTATTACATTTGTTATACATAGTCCTGAATTATATATTTTAAATACTCGTACTTCACATTGAGAGCAGAGCTGACACACTTTGGCTCACTGTTTCACATCAGTGTAAGTGATGAATAGCCTCATACTTAAAGACTGAGGCACTTTTTCAGTTTTAAACAAATTAGTAAAATGTTTGAATATGGGAATGAGAGCAAATCTAGTTTCAGCAAAGTGAGTAGCAAGCACCAATAGGTTGTAGAATAAGAAGGGATATTTTGTCAGTGAATGTACAGCAATCCCGTGTGTTTTTCGCAGGGTTTTTTTATCGCGGTTTTGACCATAATATTATTTTTTTAATTAAAGAAAATTAATGTTTAAAGAATCTCTAAGCATATGATTATTTTATTTAACATTGTTTTAATGGATAATGATTCAAATAAGAGAAATTGTATATATTGAATATTATCACCCATTTCTTCAGATTGATATTGAAGGTGGTGATGGAACTAAAGATGGAAAAAGTGAATTACGCAAGAATAAGGACCTGATGAAAAAGATCCCAGAAGGTGCTGAAGCCACAGCTGTATTAGTTGGTGCTGTAGACTTCCTTAAGCACCCCACTATTGCCTTTGTAAGGCTGGCCGAAGGAGTTATGATGGATAATCTGGTCGAGGTGAGTTTTTGTGTCTAAAGGTACTGTTTTTCAAGAGATGTGCTTTTTATAAAGATACTGTTGTATTTATGTTTTATCCATTTTTCATTTTATTAATTTTTTTTTTCTTTTTTTTTTTAGGTTCCCATCCCAGTCAGGTTTATGTTTGTGCTCCTGGGTCCATTCCATGGTGAAATGGACTACCACGAGGTTGGTCGTTCAATATCCACCCTTATGTCTGATAAAGGATTTCACGAGGTGGCTTACCGTGCACACTCACGTGGACAACTGCTTTCTGCCATCAATGAGTTTTTGAATGCATCCATTGTCATGCCTCCTGCTGATTGGAACAATAAAGACCTGGTTCCTGTTGAGGATATCCGAGCAAAGGCTCAACAGATCATGAAGAAGAAGGAAAGTTTGAGGAACAAACGTTCACTGGCTGAACAAGGTAAACTGTGCTTTAAAGATGCTGTGTATATTTGCTTAAGGTAGGATATACATAAAGCTTTAGGTAGAACACAGAGATCCTGAGAGGTCTTAACAACTCTCAATTTTACTAGCACTTGAACTGTAAGACGAACAACAAAACATTATGGGTTAAATGATAGATAAACTTAAAAAGTTTTACCGTTATCGAGCTGATTATTGACAAAGAGGATAAAATTAAATACAGGTAGATAACTACAATACTGTATGCCTCAGTGTGTGCCCCATTTAGGGAGTATATTTTATCCAAGTGGTACTGTACTTAAATTCTGTCCAAGTGTGTGGCACCATTCCATCATGAATCATTGCTGTTGTGGCTGTGATCCTACGTTTTAGTTAGGAATATTGTTGAAATTTGTTTCTCGTGCCACATCCTTCATAAACCCTTGTAACAAAAGAGTCAAGGAACTCATGCCCAGAGATTTGGTAGTTATGGTATTGGACCATCTCGCCTAACCAATGCCCTGGAAAGTGTTTCTCATGGGAGCTACAGTGTATGGAACTTTCATAGTGCATAGCAGTTATCAGTGTGTGTGTGTTATTTAAGTTTCATCATTACTTTCTATGGAGCTCGTGCCATTTATTTACTTTTTTTCATCCTTCCAGCTGTAGCTCCAGTGTCTGCGGGGGATGATGATGGGGATAAGAAACCTCCGCCAAGAGATCCTTTGATGCGCACAGGAAAACCATTTTACGGTTTGATTCAAGACATTAAGATCCGCTACCCCCAGTATCTCTCGGATCTTAGAGATGGCCTTGATGGTCAAGTTGCTGCTGCTGCCATCTTCATCTTCTTTGCAGCCCTTTCAGCTGCCATTACCTTTGGTGGCATGTATGGTATGAAAATATATTTACATTCTTATCTTTAATCATAATACTCTAAATTTCTTTCTGAACATTGACCTACTTATTTGTTTATAATTGTTTAAATTATTATTTATTTTTTAACTTTACCCAACATTACATACAATGCAGTACATTAATATTATATTTCAGGTGACAAAATGGATAATTATATTGGTGTTGGTGAATGTCTTCTTATTTCGTCTGTGAATGGTGTCATCTTTGCTCTGTTTGCTGCTCAACCATTACTTATTATTGGTGCTACGGGACCCCTTATGATTTTTGACATGAGTCTGTACCAGGTGAGTCTCCTTTATGTCAGTAGGAATATGGATATTGTGATGTTATTGCTGTTTACTTAGTTGAGAAAAATATTTTCCAACACTTAACTGTTTTTTTTTACCTAATTAACATGCAACATAATAGTAGTTTGAATTTCATTACCAAATTAGCATGTATTGTAATTTTATTTCCATTTTATAACTACAGTACAGGTGTATTACACATTACAGTACAGTATACAGTAGTCGGTTCAGTGTTCTTCATTTGCAGTTGTATTAATGTTGTATTAAGAAGTTTAAGCTTACAGTGTTAATCACCGGCTCTTTCTTCTCCAGTTTTGTGTCACGTATGAACTTGATTTCCTGTCCATAAGAGTGTGGGTTGGTTTGTGGATGACAGTATTTGCACTGTTAATTGCTGCATTTGAAGCTGTTGCTATTGTCAAGAAAATAACCAGATTCACTGAAGAGATCTTCTCGACTTTGGTGTGCCTCATCTTCATTTATGAATCCTTTGTGAAGCTGGCTGGCATTTTCAAGGAACATCCCCTACAAGAAAAATACAACTTTGTAGATGCTAACCACACTGAAATGTAAGTTTTCATTAATTTTTGTCATAATTTGATAAGATTCCGATTATTGTCTGCCTTCTCCCTTTTCATATTCGTGAATTTAAACTTTTGTTTTTGTTTTTGTTACCAAACTTCTCCTTTTATTTTTGTAGGGTATATACTGTAGTGATAGAGGTAACCATCCTTTCCTTATGTTAATTTTCTTTCTTTAATCTCAAATATTATATGTTACTCCTTATGTAAGAAAGATAATAAAAATAAAGAAAATTGGAAGGAAAATCAGTTAAGAATGCCAAATGTAAATCAGGATAAAAGAGTGTAGATTATGCATGTAAGTCAGACCACCAAGTGAGACTTCAGTATGAATGTAGCTAAAGAAGTGAACTAATCAAGGTATAGAAAATGAATCATTTTAATCCCTCAAGTTAGACCATCCAGTGTAACGTAATGCTTTATTATTATAAATCCAGTTAGTACTGTAGCATAAATCTTTCATTTTAAATAAATAATATTTTAAACTACTGCTTAATGTACTATATTTCTGCCTGATACAGTATGTCTGGTACAATCATCAACGGAACTCTGTTCAATGGAACAAATGTCGATGGAGGTGAAGTTGATTTTGTAAATCCTGCCCAACCAAACACTGCTCTTCTGTCAATGATTCTCATGCTGGGAACCTTCATCATTGCTTTTAAGCTGAAGCACTTCCGTAACTCTAAATTCCTTGGAAGAAGTGTAAGTTTCACAAAGCTCTTATCCAAATAGAGTTCAAGAAATGAAAACCGTATAGAATATTTTTGTTTCTCTTATACTGTAGGTATTAATTTATAATTTATTCAACTTTACCTCAGAAATACTATTCAATAAATAGCTTTCAGTGCATTTGCTTTCTTCTATATTAGAACACATAGTAATAATTATCAATTAGTCAGCCAATATTGTTATTAAATTTAAGATACATAGATATTCCCTTAAAGTTTAAACTATATTTCTTAATACATATTAAACCAAAGAATCTAAACAAATATTTGTTGTCATGTTTGCACTAAGGCAACTCCTGACATATTTGTAAGTACTGCATTTTACTTTCTTACCTACATTTTGCATAAGATTTACCCGGTTGTTTTATATTCAACAGGTACGCCGTGCTCTTGGTGATTTTGGTGTACCTATTTCAATTGTTCTTATGGTACTGTTGGACTACTTGATTCAAGACACTTACACTGATAAGCTCACTATGCCTGTGGGTATCCAGCCTTCCAACCCTGCTGTCCGTGGTTGGTTGATTAGTCCTCTAGGTGCTACCAAACCATTGCCTGTGTGGTGTATGTTTATTGCTGCCCCTGCATCTCTACTCCTCTTCTTCCTCATCTTCCTTGAAGAGAATATCTGCCAGTAAGTCTTTATTTTTGTTGAGAGATTTACATTGAAACTATTTGCTCATTGGCTACTTTGTTAAGAATAGGTTAATTTTTATACAGTACCTGTATGCTGTTTTCATTATTTTTTCTTTTCTTTTCACAGCCTGATTTTGAGCAAGCCAGAGCGTAATATGGTCAAAGGATCAGGCTTCCACTTGGATCTGGTCCTTTCATGTTTCATCAACTTAATAGCTGGCCTCTTTGGTGCTCCATTCATGGGTCCAGCTTGTGTCAGAACTGTTTCACACACATCAGCACTCACAGTCATGAGCTCTACTCAGGCTCCTGGAGAATCCCCTAAGATTGTTGGTGTTAAAGGTGTGTAATTAGTCATCAGTATTCTTTAACACACTCATGCATGCACAGTCACTCTCTCTCTCTCTCTCTCTATAAGCCAGTATTCACTCAATCTTCCTTCTCTTTTTACAAGCAGTGCTCATGCACCCTTTTCTTCTCATTAATCAGCACTGCCAGTCTCTCTCTTTATTATTCCGTACCCCCTTTTTTTCCCCACCTTGTTTTGTAATACCCACACACCTCGGCTACATTTTCTGGACTACATTTTTAAACTGCTCTCATTCTTCAACTCCTATTAAATTGATCATAAGTAGAATAGGAATTGTATTACAGTATTTACATTCATGACATTTTCTCCCTGCATATTAATTCTTACAACTACGTACTGTAGAATCTACAGTGCGTGAGAAGGTGTTTACATTACTTTAATTACCACTAAAATTGATTGATGAGTATGGTGGAGAAGTTCCACCTCACACTGGCAATGAAGCTGCAATACTGTATATGGGAGAGGATTTCACATGACTATTGCTTGTGACTGTACCTCAGCACATAATCTTATTTTAGTCTGGAATCATTTCTTCCTTAAAGGAACTTCACATTTTTAATGTACTGTATTCATATTTTCCTTAAGTGAAAATTGAAGCAAAGGTACAAGGCTTCAATTTTGTGTATGGATTTAGTATCCAGAGAAATTGAGTGAAGAGTTTTGTTATTTCCACCTTTCTGCGGATTCAAGATGCATTTTATAGAAAATTAATAGACTAAATTATGATTACATTGCAGATTGTAAAGTTTGCATGTTTTGAAACATATTTACTATTTATGAGATGACCATAGAATCTTTTGAATGCTAAGTACTTCAAAATTAATCAAAACAATCTTTTGTCTTACAGAGCAGCGACTGAGTGCCCTTGTGGTGTCTATCATGATTGGACTGTCAGTGCTTTTATCAGTTGCTCTTAACATGGTGCCAAAAGCAGTTCTGTTTGGCATCTTCCTCTACATGGGAGTTTCCTCTACTGCTGGTATTCAGTTCCTGGAGCGATTGATTCTTGTTTTAATGCCTATCAAGCACCACCCTAATGTTCCCTATGTGAAGAAGGTAATATATTCATCAAATGTATTTACTGTAGCTCAAAGTATGTAGGAATTTGTATTCATACAAAATGTGTTAAACATTGTGCATGAGGGACAAGCAAAGGTACAGTATTTGTGCAAACACTGAATTTATTGTTGGATTAAAAAATGTAGTATTACTTATAGTTACTGGCACCTTATAAGTGTAAAAACAAGAGCTGAATCTGTATAAATTTGAAGAAAAAATCATCTACAAATCTAAAAGCTACAACTGTGGCTATGAGGTACAGGTATTAACTGGAATTAAGGTTTTCAGGAATTTTCATATATAAAACAAAATTAAAATTTCATTTAGGAGTGATGTGATATGGCTACACTTGGCTGCTGTTGCAAAGTAAAATTATTTTTTATGGTATTTCAATTTAGTTTCTTTTACTGCTTAGGAAACAAGACAACGTAAATTTGTAAAAAAAAAAAAAGGCTTTTATTGTTGCTTAAAAATGGAGAATTTGAAAAAATGTACAAGGAAGTAAAGTATCAATAACTGATAGGGAAAAGGGTTTTTGTGTAGTGAACTTTATTTTAATGTTATAGCTACTGTATGTATTCTTGGATATAGGAATTTTTTTTTTATTACAAACCACATTTTATACTTGCAGGTTCGCACCTGGAAGATGCACATTTTCACTGGAATTCAGTTGATAATGTTGGTGGTGTTGTGGATTGTAAAGCAATCACCAGCTGCCCTCTGCTTCCCCTTCGTCCTTATGCTTCTTATCCCAATGAGACTGTACCTCTTACCTTATGGGTTCTCCAATCCTGAACTTAGTGCGGTAAGCTTCAACCACTTGAAATTTTTTTTATAAATATTACAACATATACAGTATTATAGAGTACGGATATTTATGAAAATTAATACACATGTAGTACGTCTTAACATTATTTGTTTGTCAGCTTACTGAGAAAAAAATTATGCTTTAAAATAAACATCTTTTTCTATAGCTTGATGGTAAGGAAGCCACTGCTAGTACCGACAAAGATGAGGAGCCCGACTTCTTCGAGGAAACTCACGGTCTTCCTACCCATGTTGATCATCATCATCAGAGCTGAGCAATTTGATACTCTACTTTTGAATTCCCTCACCTGCCATAGCACTTGTACTTTCCTTCAGTACATTCGAAATTGTATATTATTCTTATTTGTAATATACAAGGGACTTTTTTTATGTGAAAATATGCAGAATATTGTTTCCAATGCTAGTTTAAGAGAAAACAATTCAGAGTTTACATTGTTAAGGCTCATGTTTTAACAGTTTCTTTTGATTTTAATTTTTATATGAAAGGCTTCCAACCCCTACTGCTTCTCTACTTGGATATTTTATACTGTACAGTATATAATTATCTTTGGCAGAGGATCTTTTCATGCTGTGCATGATATTAAAGTTTAACTTGGCACTTGGTTATGATGGTGTAGCATTTGTTTACTCTCGATCATTTTAGACTGATTTAAGGTACATTACCCATCGATGTAGCTGCTTTTCTAAAGTAGCTCATGGAACACCATTTTGATTTTGCTAAACTTAAGCTCAAATACTATTTTGCAGACTGACAAATAGTTGTTCACATGGGACTATTGTAAAACATGAGATTTGCCTATCTAAGAGTTGCCTTGATTCATAAGTTGTGAAAATAGAGTACAAGACTGTCGTCATTCCATAAAACGGTGCTATATAACAGATGGGAATTTTTTAAGCATATCATTTTCAAAGGAAGTTAACTTGAGATTGTTATGCTCCGTCCATCAGTATTTAAGGAAGTAAACATATTTATTTTATGATGAGAAAATTATACTATAGTTAGAAATAGATATAGAATTGCTCAAATTAGTTGATTTTGAAGAATATGACAATGTCTATAATGAGGGAGAAGAAGACCATTCATTATGTTGTGCATTGTGTGTGATGTTAAGTAGTATTTAACGACTACTTGAGGTGCTACCAGTAGTAAAGTAGGATATTTAAAATTATGTGAATACTACCTTTGTGTGACTACAATGATTAGTCACTGTTGTTATCCCAGTGAATCCACTCAGACATTCAGTCTGTACACAAGAAAATCCACTCTTTATTTTTTGGTGTACATCTCTCCAGTGTCTGATGAACTTTGAAGGGCTTTGTGTGCTGTCTCGTGTCTTCTAATAATTGGTGGGAAAACTTCTCGTCACAACCTCAGACTCCTGCTATCCTTTGTTGATCATTTTAGTCTTAAACACCAGCAACTAGACAGAACTAGTTGTTAAGGGTGTTGTGGCCACTAACTTCAGGCTGTTTCCTTCCACTCCATGTGCCAAATTTGTTTTAGCAATTTTCTTTTATATAGATATAACTCTTCTTTGTGCTGGAATAGTAAATATGTGAAATATTAGACTGATCAATACTCGATAATCAGAGATTTAATGGTACCATGGTTTTATATATATATATATATATTTTTTTTTTTTAAGGTACAATGTCTTCAGTATGCATTTACATAATTAAGCCATTATATTCTACAAAATATTATGTATCAAATATAAAAAAAATAATCCTCCCATTTGGTTGGACATGAAGATGTTACACATATTCTTGGGTGACACTATTTATATATATTTTTTTTTAGATTTGATTGTATTATATGCATGAAATAACCAGCTCTTCATGTCAACCCATAGAATATTGTACGATTAGGCATATTCATTTGGAAGCAAATTAAAGACATGATGGAGTAAACCCATTTTTGTATGTATATACTGATGAATCAGCAGATTATACCATTATTATTTAGATGTCTGTTTTCTCTGGTATTTTTGCTGTGCACATATGTTTGTATATAAATATATTGAGTTATGAGATATTATCTCTTAAACAAGGTATATTAAACATGAAAGGTGAATGAACATTCTTTTCATACCCTCAGGGCAATGAAAATTTTGGAGAAGGGAAAGTATGATATTCATGGATCTGGAAAAAGCATATGACTTACTCGAAAAATAGCAAAGTCAGAGGTATAGGTGTCCCTCATTTAACGATTGGGCTGCGTTTCTGAAAAAAATTCTTATTAAGCAAATTGATCACTAAACGAGGGATAACGAGAAATAATATCCTAAACGAAGAATAATATCCATGTAATTGCATAGCCAAGTAGCCGATTTGCCACCCGGTGCCTCTTCTGGATAGATATATCCAAAAAATATTCATAAGGTCAAAAACAAAGATAAAATAAACATTTCTTATGTGCTCGGCATGGGAGATCTCTCGGCCGTTCTTTGTCTTGTGAACTGATTCCCAAATAGCAATGCTGTAATTTTTTCTTTAACTTCCAGTAGACCACCTTAATCCAGACTAATTGGGGGGGTAGTGCAGTCCATATTAAGCGAATTTCCGGATAAAGTGATCACTAGAAGGGGTTTATTTAATCTGTATAAGGTCTGCATTAACCGAGTAAAATACAGATGGCAGTCTCGATTGCTGTCTGGCACACACGTACGCCAGCCCCAACCGCTTTGTTTACAAGCCAGCCGCAGTGGTATTACACTGCTACACCCTTGTGTGTGCATCTCTTAACTCCTGTAGACCTTTTATGACTTTTTGAACTAATTACCATGGCTGCCAAAGGCAAGACAACTTCAAAAGGAAGTCAGAAGAGGGCCAGAAAGGAGTTTAGCTTGAAGGACAAGCTAGCAGTTGTGGATGATCACGAGAAAGATCTGTCTGCAAAACTTTTGATGAAGAAATATGACTTGAAAAAATCAACCATCAACAGCATCACCAACTTTGTTGCAAGTACTTTATGTCCAGTATGTACAAGAATTACAGTAATATCTCCATTAGCCGGAAAAATTGATGCAGAGCATTTCTGTGAATGAGATATTTCCGGGTAACAAAACAAATTTCAAAGCTGGAAAAAATCCCTCTTCCCCGGAATTTTCCAGGTAACGGGAAAATGTTCTCGGAAGTTCCAGAAATTGCCCATTACATCATCACTCGAACCCTGAAAAATATCCCTCATCCCCGAAATTTTCTGGGTAAAGGAAAAATTTTCGCGAAAGTTCCAGAAATTGCCTATTATATCATCTCTCGAACCAGGAAAAAATCCCTCATCCCCGGAATTTTCCGGGTAACAAAAAATTTTTCTTGGAATTTCCAGAAAATGCGCCTGATTTTCATCTCAAAAACCCAGAAAAAAAAGTCCCCCCATCCGCAGAATTTTCCGGGTGATTCAAAGGTGTTTGTTTATTTTTGCCACCACGTGGGTAGATTCAGACTATTTCATGTAAATCTAGACTCAATCCGGATTAACAGAAATTAGTCCTGAGTGGTTTGCCAGTCCTGGATAAAAAGAGTACGGATAGAGAGAGTTTTAATGTATTTTACTTGTATTATTTTTATTTATCGCTCACATTTACTGGCACTATATACAGTACACGTGACAGTTCATCCAGGCAGTCACCAAACTGACTCAAAAGACGTGTATGGCTGATGTCTGTGTGTCGTGAGGTCACATAGTGAAGAGGGAAAGTGTGACTGGCCAGTTACAGCTGGGTGCCTCAATAAATACGACCACTTCCCACACATGCACACCCAAGCTCATCATTTTTCTTATTTTGTAGTTTTACAGTACTGTATATTCTTTATTTCTAAGCCACATCACAGAATTGTAATGCTGCACACTTGGAGCACAGAATCTCCCGAGGGGTGGTCGACTTGTAAGAAGTACTATTTGTTGGGGGGTTGGTATGTGATGCAAATTTTTCTTCAGAGAGGGGAGGGGACTGAGGAAGGCAGGGAAAGTCATGAAAGAAAGAATGGATGGATGTAAGTTTTTGTTCACTATCATCTTGGGTTTACATGTTTAAAGAGTAATAGCGAGGACCCTTTTTTTATGATTATTTAATGTGCCATCCATTTCCTGATTTATCATTTTTACAGGTTGTTGTTCAGGTTTCAAACAATGGTAATTAGATATTTTTAATAGCACTGATATGAGGAGAAATATTGAATATGGGGGTGGAAATCGCCTTTCTTTTTAATACAGCTCCTCCCCGACTTACGACAGGGTTAGGGACCAAAATCCAGGTCGTAAGTCGAAAGTGCTTAAATAATACTTAGAAAATCTGAAATGGGTGTCACTTTTTCTAATCAGCACCACAAAACTCTCACTTTTTAGCTTGCCAGCCATTTTAAAGTGAATTACAAACGAAAATTTTGTCAGTACACAGCGCAATCACTGACGTTGGGACTCGAAAATACGTAATTTGACAAAATTTTGGTACGTCTGAGGCGGTCATGTGTCCGGGTGGTCGTAAGTCGGGGAGGAGCTGTATTTATGAACACAAGTCATACACAATCTCAATAGCCCGTTCAGTGTCCTCTTTGCCTGTCAATCGTGGTCTCCCCGAGGTGCTTTGATATACAGTCATGCGCCGGTTAACGTCCGACCGAACAACGTCCGATCGCATATACGTCCGTGGCCCCCCCCGCCAAAAAAAAAAAATCCGTGACGCTTGCTGGACCACCACTCCACGACCCCCTGACGGAGACACGATGATCCTCCCCATACTGGTCAGATATTATGTGTTAAAGGAATATGTTTCCTTGATTAGGCTTTTTTTAAACATTTGCCTGCAGGTGTAATGTTAACCTACATCTATTGAGGATAAAATCTTTCACCCACAAATTGACAATAACACATTTGCTGTAATCAGACATATCTAGTTGTCTCAACAATTGCAACTTCAGTTGTAATTGGGGTTGCAATTTCAAATTCTGTGGCATTACTACGGAACAAAGAAGTATCTGGTGTACTGCACTCTAAGATTAAGAGAAAATGGACGACTCAAATATAGAGAGACATAGCTACATGTTTTGTGGACTACCCACTGTACAGTATTGATGGTATATTTTTCATCACTTTGTAATAATCCTAGTCATGTCTATGTGTGTTTCTGATAATTACCATAACATTATATATTTATATATTTAGCGGTTGTACAAACACAAGGCCTTCACACATGCCACTCAGACTGACAGACTTGACAAGTTTTACCAACCATAAAGACAGTTGAAGCTTTAAACATCACTCACAATGGATCTTGAATATTCCAACTGTAATCAGACATATCTAAGTTGCCTCAACAATTGCAACCCCAGATGCAATTTCAAATTCTGTCATTATTAAGGAATAAATAAGTCTCTGGTGTACTGCACTCTAAGATTAAGAGAAACCGGACGACTCAGGCGTCCTGAAGTGAGAGGAAACGGACTTCTTTGAAGGGGCACTCAAATATAGAGAGACATAGCTACATGTTTTGTGGACTACCCACTTTACATTATCCTTTTCATCACTTTATAATAAACCTAGCCATGCCTATGTGTATTTATGATATTTACCAGAACATTATATATACAGTATATATTTTGTGGGTCTAAATGGTTGTAAAATGGGAAACTTGGGGTTGGTGCCTGGAACCCCCATTAGAATAAATCCAATAGGTTTATGTAATTTCGGACAACGTCCATTTCGGTTAACATCACGTTTCCAAGAACGTATCTAGGACATTAACCGGTTCATGACTGTAGTAGTGAGGAAAAATTTCACACAATTTCATCTATTCTAGAAAGCTTAAATGATCCATCCATATGCCTATACTTCCATTTTCTCAACTAAATTTTGCCAAAGTTTAATAACTTTGTAGTGGACGTCTCCCCTACAACTGCGTAGCCGCATTCCAATGCCACAGTATCCTAGCAACCAGCCACCTGCTACGTCTTCCCTAGCAACCAAACGAGCGGCCCAGTGGGGAGGGGGGGGCGTCACCAGATGCCACAGTATCCTAGCAACTAGCCACCAGCTGCTACCGTATCCTAGCAACAGGTCGAGAAACCGGCGACTTCCCACGGTTTACTTCCGGCGGCTGTGTATATAAGCTCTGTCTCTCCATTGAGATTCATTCTGGCCTCTCTTCTTGAACACGCAACACCTCCTCCGCCGCTGCTGGCTGGCCCGCCTCCTCCAAAGCATGGCGACCCACCAGCTGTCCTTCTCTGAGCGTCCTCACCAACCAGCTCTCTTATTCTACTCTATGTTCCTGAACACGCAACACCTCCTCCAAGCAAGCTCCTCGCTGTCCAGCTTTCATTCAACCAGGAGGCCAGTAACAGGCAACATCTTCTCTAACGAAGCTCCTGCACATCTACCTCCTTCAACACGCTACTCACCGAACGTGTCTACTGAGCAGCTCACCACACGGCATCTCCAGCACCAGACTGTCTACCATATAACTTATATTATATAAGAAAACCACCACCTTAGAGTTTCCATCCATCCTGAGTGCTAGACAACATTATATCACGAAACCCTACAACTTACTTGTAAACTTTTTTCCAACGTCAAGAACCTTCAATACAAGTATTGCATAAAAGATGCAGTGATCTTTACCATGATGTATTGTGGAGTTACATGAAGAGAGATGGAGTGAACAGGATCTCAAATACAGCAAATATAGATCCTGAAGACAACACAGAATTCCTCCCCCTTAATCAGATATATCTTGGGATAGAAGTTCCTGGTCTCCTCCAGTCTGAAGAGTATAGGGACAGGAAAGACATGATAGAAGATGTGATGAATAGGTGCAGGCAATTTATGATTATATCTTGCAAAGAAATAAAAAAAAAGGTTTCCACTTGTTTACGAGCCTATACAGATGTGTTCTGTATTTTCAGTAGAAGTTTTTTTAAATAAGCAGTCGAGAGTGACAATGCCTTCAATGTTACCTTTAATGAACGCTTTCCCTAGAATATCTCCCACGAACAAACAGCAGTTGGATAATGAGTGGAGAACCATTGACAACATAAGATTTCCATACTATATGAAAAATCAAAGAAACACAGAGC